GATTTTTTTTGTTTTCGTTTTTAATTAAAAAAAAATATTATTCGTGAAAAAACAATTTTGAAAAAATTATAGGGAGTTACCCTTGGATGTCCCCCACCCTCCAAAAAAAAAAAAAAACATACCCCCCCAGCCAAAAAAAATAAAATAAAAAAACATACCGCTCTTCGTGAACTCCATAAACTCCCGTGAACGTGAACTCTGTGAACTCTATGACCGGCTCCGTTCACAGACCCCATGAACGGTGAACGGGGGTACGGCACTGCCACACACACACACACACACAGTGTCACACTGACTCACACACACACAGATGCACACACAGAGTGAGCAAGTGAGGGACAGAGAGAGAGAGAGGAGACCATTGCCAATTCTAGGTCGAATGCCAAACATGGTTCTCTTTGAGGGTGTATATTCGCAAGTCCGGAAGCGGCCAGTCTCAAGTAGGCAATCAGCACTGTCCCCGGCACAACAGGGTCGTAGACCCAAACAATAAAGATGAGAAGAGATCAATCCACAGAGCCAAAAGTGGAAGGGATCAAGTGAGCCATTACTGCGAAGTCTCACTGGGTAAAAACGGGATTGAATGAACAGGGAAAGCAAGTAAACTAGAGAGGGGACGAAAGGGAATGGCAGACGAAAAGAAACATATAGGGCAAGTGAGCGAGCGCACGCGCGCGAGAGAGAGAGAGAGAGAGAGCGCACCTAGAAAGCTTGATAGTCAAATAGAGCGGTGTCGAACGGTTGGCACACCGGATTGGGAGGTCTCGAGAGACGGAACGAAGAATAACGAGGACATGAGACACTGAGAGTCCCACACACTTATACTGGAGACAGTGGAGAGCTTGAGAGTCCGAAAGAAGAATGACCGAAAGATTCTGGGAGCTTGAGAGTGACAGTGAGGAAGGATGACCGCAGAAGGAAACACAGTAGATCACAAAGATCGTGGACTCATGGAGAGCTCGAGAGCGAGTACGAAGAATGGAAATGGAATAAAGCGCAGAGTATGACGCAAATATATTCTCCGCTGCTCCCCTTCGTGTCATATAAGCTGTAGAGGCGAGCATTTTGCTAAAGGACAAGGAATGCGTGCGATGGTAATCACGGCCAGGCCTAAATGGATGTGGACGTAATTTCGTCCGCTCCTAAATGCACTTCGCCTAGCTCCGGTCACAAAAATCCTTGTGTGTGTATGCCCTGAGATTCTAGATTCAGTAGACATGAATTGGAGAGCCGACAAGAATCATTGACTATCGCTCGCCGCCAAAAACTCTCTATTAGAAAAAAAATATATACATATATATACATATATATATCTATTAGCACTTCGGCGGCAAGTTCAGTGCTTCCTTTTCGCCGATGTTTTCAGGCCTCGCTCCACCACTCTCGACATGCACAAAAGACAAAAAATCATGTCCGTGTATCTTTCCATGTTCCAGCAACAGACTTACTCTCGGTGGTTTTTTTTTTTTTTTTTTTTTTATCTGATGGACGGGCCTCTGCCAGGCAGTGATAAGAGCATCCGCCTCTCCGAGGAGCCCTCCTTTGGTTACTCCATTCCATTGGTGGGGAGCTGCACCTGCTGGAAAACGGGTCCAGTCCCTTGAATTACAATGATATCATCACAATGACAACAACCAATAAGTAATCACAGTAGAGTGCAGCGGGGATCCTGAGGAAGGGGGAGATCCTCTTTTTCATCCCACAAATGGCGTGAGAAGATTAGCTGTTTG